TACTGGTTCCTCCCTCTGACCTCCACAAAATTGCAAGACACAGGAGGTCAGCAAGAGGAAATGGGGAGAGCTGCAAGGGACCCAGGAGATGGACTTCTGGAGCGCGTTTCCCAGCAGACATCAGGGGACCATTTCTTCAATGGAACAGGAAAGGCAAGAGGGCAAAGTAGGGCCATTCAGGCTGAATTTATGCGGTCTCATGTACTTATAGCATGCATGGTAACGCACGTGTAGGTGTGAATGGGCCCATATAGTTCCTTTGTTTTCCACACGAAAATGCAGCACAAAGATATGAACTAGCCCCATAGGAAGACAGGATTTCTGCTTGAAATGTAACAAAATGCTTGTGTTTTGCTTCATGAAACAAGTACAAACAGTCCCTCAAAGCCAATGACAGGGCACTGACATGCACTTTAGATTGTGGTTTTGATAGACTCCTTTTGAACCGACTTGAATAGCAAAATGCAGCTCAACTGACCAAAAATGCAGCTCAACTGACCAAAAATGCAGCAGGCAGGAGTCGAAATTGGATGAATTGTTCACAAGAAGAGAAGCAGTTTGAAATGAAAAGCACATGGCAGGTAAACAATACCGGTCCTCCATTATCCTACAACCGTGAATGAGAAATATCTGTTTATACCGGTACACCTACGGGTACTCCAATGGTACTAGACTAGTATTGGATAAATCTCAGGGGCCCCAATACCGGTACACTTACGGGTACTCCAATGGTGCTAGACTAGCATTGGATAAATCTCAGGGGCCCCTATACCGGTACACTTACGGGTACTCCGATGGTGCTAGACTAGCATTGGATTAATCTCAGGGGCCCCAATACTGGTAGTCCGATGGTGCTAGACTAGCATTGGATAGATGGCAGGGGCCCCAATACCAGTACACTTAAGGGTACTCCGATGGTGCTAGACTAGCATTGGATTAATCTCAGGGGCCCCAAAACCGGTACACTTACGGGTGTTGGACAAATCTCAGGGGCCCCAATACTGGTACACTTAAGGATACTCAGACGGTGCAAGACTAGCATTGGATAAATCTCAGATGCCCCAATACCGGTACACTTATGGGTGGTGGATAAATCTCAGGGGCCCCAATACACATGTGCGGTCCGACTGGGTCTGCCCGTCAGTTTTTCAGGTGGACCTTAATGGAAGCCCAATTTAAGTCTATGGGCAGCTGTTTGTAAACGGACATGTGTCCGTTTACACCTAGTTTACACTTACGGGTACTTAAGACGGTGCTAGACTAGCATTGGAGAAATCTCAAGGGCCACCAATAGCCGACGCAATGAAAGAATTAGGTTAATCTCCTACCATTAAAGGGTTTTGTGCAGTTGTCACGTGAAACATGTTTACAATGTCTGCTGGTTAATTTTATTCCGGTTTAACAAAAAACTGCCCCAGTGTCATAGCCTGGTATACCTGATGCAATATATTCTCACCTTGTTCAGGGTGTACAAGTCCAGAATTCGACGCTCCACATTTGGAATTTTGAGCGATGACCCCTGGATCTCCCAGAACTTTGCAATTTGGTCCAAGTAGTTAAGTTTGACTCTAGTTTCAGCCTGAGAGAAGAGAGAAAAGTTATAGGATTAGGGACAGTTACAATATAAATCTATGAATTTCAGGATCCTTCAGGCCTCCAGCTCCCTGTGCTGAAGCTGATCATCACCCGGCTCAATAGGAGGCTGTATTCAGCGTCTTCTGCCGATCCAAGACGCTATTTACCATTTCCGCAACAAAAGGTGCCTTTACCAAGCAGAGATGAACTTCATTACAGAAGCGGGGGAATTTAAAAATCTATCATCTAAGGCCCCTTTCACATGTGCGGTCCGTCTGGGTCTGCCTGTCAGTTTTTTAGGTGGACCTTATTGGAAGCCCAGTGTAAGTCTATGCCATCATTTTGGGCCATGCAGGGTCCATTTTGGGCCATGCAGCCCAATGTAAGTCTATGCCATCATTTTGGGCCATGCAGGGTCCATTTTGGGCCATGCAGCCCAATGTAAGTCTATGCCATCATTTTGGGCCATGCAGGGTCCATTTTGGGCCATGCAGCCAATGCAAGTCTATGCCATCATTTTGGGCCATGCAGGGTCCATTTTGGGCCATGCAGCCCAATGTAAGTCTATGCCATCATTTTGGGCCATGCAGGGTCCATTTTGGGCCATGCAGCCCAATGTAAGTCTATGCCATCATTTTGGGCCATGCAGTGACACCAAAGCGTCACTGTCAGCCTGAAGGGACCCTGCATGGCCCCAACACGCTGGCTTTGTTGACGAAGGTTTAAATAAAAAGGAACAGAAATTCACACTTACAAGATCACCAGCAATCAAAGTTCAGAATTTCCTTTCTTTTTTATTGAACATGCATCATAAAAGCCAAAGCCAGTGTTTCGGGGGCCACGCAGGGACCATTCATCAGGGTGACAGTGACACTAAAGCATCACTATGTCTCCCTGAAGAAACCCTGCGTGGCCCGAAAATGCTGGCTTCGCATGTTCAATAAAAAGGAAAGAGAATTCACACTTTGAACTTTGTGAGTGCCGGTGATCTTCTTCCCAATACTTTGAGTCCAGGATCAGGGTGACGGACCCGGAGCCTGCACCTTTTAAAAGACAAAATCAAATTTTACCCATCGGCCTCTTTCCGTTCCAGCACACGGCAGGAGAATGCCACAGCCAGACATAGAACGCGCATCTCTAGAAGCCTACCTCTAATTCATTGAGCCTCTGGATGCGAGGGGTGAAATGAAAGTTGTCCACTTCGACTGCAAATGGTGGCTGCCAATCCTGCAAAAGAAAGAAAGAAAAAAAAAAAAAAAAGTCAAGACACCAAAATGAAAAAAATTGTCAGAAAATCTGGTTAAAAAAAAAAAAATTGTGGTAAAAAAAAACCCCTTGCAGATGTCGGGATGCACAGATTTTACCTTTGAAGGACTATAGATAGAATGGCGAGAGGTTAGAACTCTTGTGAGATGTTTCCTGTTGTCTGTGTCCACATTAGGGGGGGGGATTTACACTCACGTTTCCCCTTTGTCCCAATTCCTCCATGAACAGCGCATCTCCGGGTATAAGGCACCATTCACACTTGGCGATTCGCAAATCGCGCGTTTGTCGTGCGATATCGCGCAAATGCTTGCATTGAATCGCGGCAAAATCCGCTCCAAAAAGGGTCCTGATGTAGCGACACACGACCCGCGACAGCAGAACCCTTTGCCCCATTGCCAAGCATTGGAGAGCGATATCGCGCGGTAAATAGCCGCGATATCGCGGGAATTACCGCGCGATAAATTGCTCAGTGTGAACGGGGCCTAAGAGAGAGTAACTAGGCCAGGGCTGGACAAATCCCAGAAGCCAGGTAGCCAATGCGCCCTAAAAATGACAGCTGGTGCCTAACTTTTCAGGTTTTCTCTAGTTGTTGGCAATAAAGCTAGCTCCTTGATTGGACACACTGGCTCCTAAAT